ATCAACACCACAATCACACACACACACAATTACCATTTCGCCTTTTTTTTTGCTGCTCCGTGTCTGGAAACGTGGAATTCATTGCGGCAACAGAAGCGCTAGGAGAATGGAACCTTGAAACCATTTTTTTTTTCAAACGCACAGAAATTCTTCATGGGACCTGTTGTGTTGGTTCCATGCCAGTTTGGGGGAAGGTAGATTTCTGTGGTTTGAAGTGCCTTGTGAAAAGGGTGCCCCCCAAGAGCAACTTGTTTAAATTTTTTCCTTGTGGTTTTGTGTTTGCAGCTTGGGCATAACCCAAAGTGGAATCAAATGAGTCGCGAGCAAAAACACGACCGCAAATGCCGCAGATGAATTTGGCGTTTACAAGATTAAAGCACATGCCGTGATAAAATCGGGGTTTGCACGAACCGCAGCGTGGAAACATGGATTTGTTGTGTGTGTCAGCACTTTCAGAGTGTGTGTGTGCTGTTGTGAATTTTCCATTCACAACCCGCCCCTATCAGCCCCTTGGCGCAGCGAAATCCCTGCTCAAAGACAAATTCAGGCTTACTGGGTTGCTGTTAAGGAACTTACGTTCACTTACCATATCAATGTACACACATATGTCTTGTATATATGGTTATGCATATACACATATTTATATATATGCACAAATTATAGCGAAGTCAGAAACGAAATCAGCCCAGAAGTAAAACAATTAGCGACTTGACGAGGTAAACAAAATTAATAATTTCGGGTAAGGACAGTGTAGCCCACGTGAAGCAAGAAGGCAATTAAATTGGGTTTTGGAATGTCTTGCAACTTCTTTTTTGGAGTTTCAATGTTGCAGGCCTTGGGATGAAAGTCCAGCAAATTTTACGCAAATTCGTTGGAAGAATGTGGTGCATGGGGGGGGTTGTGTGGGGGAGGCTTTCAGATTTACATATGGGATTCCAGCGAATTGAACGTAGATTCGCTGGGAGGGGTCTGAGGGGAAGGGCCTGGGAGGTGGATTGGCAGGGCGATCAGACCAAGCCTGGGGCTGGGAAGGGGCTTGAGGGGGCCTGGGAGGAGGCTGGGAAGGCGGGGTTTGCGCTGCGAAAAGGGCAAAATCGCCTTGAAGGGCCGGAAGGTTTCCTATCCGCCGCGAACAGGGCAAAATCGCCTTTATGGGACAAGCTGGGAGGGGCCAGGTTTCCTATCCGCTGCGTAGGGCAATCGCCTTTGTGGGAGGGCTGGGAGGGTCCAGGTTTCTATCCGCCGCGAATAGGGCAAACGGCTTGATGGGAGGGCTGGGAGGGGCCACAAGGCAAAATCGCCTTTGTGGGAGGGCTGGGGGCCAGGTTTCCTATCCGGAACGAATAGGGCAAAATCGGAGGGGCTAGGTTTACTATCCGCCGCGGATAGGGGGCAAAATCGCCTTGACGGTGTCGCGTGGTATGTTTGGGTGTGTAAGTATTGTGCTGTGTAAGTGTCGTGGTGTCAGTGATGCGGTGTCAATGTTGTGGTGTCAGTGACGCGGTATAAATCTTGTGGTTTCAATGATGCTATTTATACAAGGCTAGCTATTATTTATTTGCAAGAAAATCTTCGCGATGCCTTTGGAAAAAAAGAAAGGAAGAGAGAGGAGGAGGAAGAAGAGAGAAGAGGAGAGAGAACGAAAATAAAAGAGAATTGAGGAGAAAACAGAGGTAAGAAGCAGAAAGAAAAATAAATCAGAAAGAAATGAAAAGAGAAGAGAGGAGAGGAGACGAAAGAAAATAGAAGAGAGGGAGATAGAGAGAGAGAAGAGAAGAGAGGAGAGAAGAAAAGAGAATAAGAAAAGATAGAAAAAATGAAAAAAAGAGGAAAGGAGAAAGAAAAGAAAAAAGGAGAGAAAGAAAAGAAAAGAGAAAAAAGAAGAGAAGAGAAGAGAAGAAAAAATAAATATGAGAAGAGAAGAAAGAGAAAAAATATCTAAATCATAATTATTTAATTTCGATATATATATATATTTATTTCTCTTTTATAGATGAAAATTTAAATCTATAATTCTTCTACTTATCGATTAATAAGAAATATTAGAATTGGATTGCTATTTATAATAACGAAAAATCATGATTTCTGAATTTCCAAAACGAGAAAATTTCCAAATTAATTATCTATAAGATCGAATATGAAATCCGATGAATATCGATTAATATATAAATTCTGAAAGATTGTGGATCTCTGCCTCGGATACATTTCTCCGAGATGCCGCGCAGACCGACCCTCAAAGAAAGAGAGATGAATCCAAATCTCGAAAGATTTGCCCGCGCATTTTTTCTATCCATTTTGATCTTTGAGATGATAAATTTGCCTTATTTTCTTCTCCCTACATATATGCCAAATGGCGGATACGAATTTTGATTTGGCTGAAGATGATATATAGATAATCAAAGAGATATATCAAATAGAATATATATAAGATCATATATGAATATATAAGTCCGCCCATAATAAAATCGTATAATTTATAGATACGAAAGATATTAGATTCCGGACCCAATCGTAGCGTTCCGCCGATTAGATAACTAAAAAAAAAGATTTGAAATCTCAAAAGGTTCTTGATCGCTCGCGCATTCCCCGCACCCGATTTTCCCGCCTCATTTATCTCCCTTAGGCTGCCTGCGCGGCGACTCGGGGCAATATATAAATCCCTATATTTAGATTCGATCAATCTAGAAATCCTAAAAAAAAATTAAATTTCCGTCTCGTATCTAAATATTCCAACGAATATTTACTCAAATAATCAAAGAAATCACGCAAATCAAATAAGATCAGATGTAAATTCTGAAAATTCGTATATAATGAAAATAGTCAATCTATCGAATCTGAGAAATTCTAGATTTGCATCCGGGTCTATATATTCTTCCGAAATCCGAAATCTCGAGAGAATTTTAGTCGTACGATTCTGCATCTGACCCAATATATCTATTTCATTTATCTCCGCTAGATTATTTGTACGGCGGCTCGGGAGAATCAAAAATATCCATATATAGATATAATCATTCGAGAAGATTTTAGATCTTCATTCTAGGAATACGAATATTCGAGCTGCCCAAATAATCAAAAAGAGATAAATTAAGCAGAAAATCGCGCTCCCAGGAAATCAAAATCCGCAAAATTTTAGAGCCTCTAAGAAATCCAGAAGAGCCATTTAAAAAAAATCAGAAAAATTAAATCGCGTGCGAGCGAAATAATCGTAATATATTATTATATTCTATATATATATATATTTTATGATTTTCCGTATCTAAATTAAAAAAACATTGATAAATTCGAATAGATTTTTATGAATTTCAAAAATGAATTACGATTTCTTGAATTATCAAATAATAAATATCAAACTTATTTTTATATCAAATTATCCTATCACCTTTTATATTCATTGCGATCTATATCATATCGTAATTAATATCATCTCTCAAATCATTTTTTTCATCTTTATTATATATTTTTTTATTGAAAACATTAATTCAATTATATTCATTCAAAATTCATTTTAGAAGCTTGCCTATTTCTTTTATCCGCATCCTACGCATATTTCTAAATTCCTAAACTAGGAGATGCTCTCCAAATACCACGACCATTATACGACAAAAAAATATATATCGTATGAACTATATTTCTAAAATCAGAATTTAAGAAGAAAATATTCTTCATGAAATAGAAGAATACTAAATAATATGACAATATATAAATGAAATTAAAAATAGAAAGATTATCTCTCTAGAAATCATCAAATCGAGAGATAAATATAAAAAGAGAATAATATCAATCTCCTCCTAATTGACGAAGCATTTATAAAATTCATGAATCCATAAATCGATAGATCATTTATCTTATGCCGTCTCATAACCAAAGACCGATTACTCAATAATAAATCTCAAAGAGTATTCGTTCGACAGACCTTGAAACAGAATAAGAAGCTATCAAACTAACCGGAAATAGACAAATACAAATCGAGAGACAAACTCGAAATTGATAAACCGCGAGGTTAACAGACTGACAGACAATCGAAAAAATAGATTGAAATACGCACTTGAGATTATTCTTTATCAGCAATATAAATCTAACAACAAACAATTCGCCGCAGAGCCAGACAAATAAAGCAGACGAGAAAGAGAGGACAAGGAGAAGGCCCCGCAGCAAAAAACCTTTGAGACTTTTCAACTCTGGCTTTTCATAGGAACCCTGAAATCTTAAGATTTTAGAGCCCATAGATAGCCAGCAAAACAAATTCAATAGAGGGCCGTAAAAATTAGGCCTTACTAACGATATAGCCGTAAATGGCCGTAACATCTTATTAAAACATATCATATACTAGAAGAAGACCAAACGATCAGGGGAGACCAGGGACCAAGATCTGAGGAACAGGACCAAGCGCAAATTCCGCGATAGCCAGATAAACCCGTGTTCAGTCGATTTACTACGCAATGGTCGCGTGCTGTCGTTTACAGAATCTGCAACATTTGAAAAAGTTTGCTAATATGTATTTACAATATTCCTAATCTTCCAAACGTAACTTTCCAAGAGCTCCAAAGCTCTTCAAGAATTCCAAGTACGGATATTTCTTCAAGAGCTGCGGATATTTCTTCAAGAGCTGCAGATATCAAAATTTGCAGTATTCCTAGCTGTTTCAAAGCTCCTCATATCTAGGTTCCACAGTAACCCTTTAAGCCTTTAATTGTTAGGTTGCTGGTTTTTAATGGTTAATTTTCAGAAGGAAACACCACAATAAAAACGGATAAAATGTACTGCTGGGGTACCTAGATACTCATTCGAATGATAGACTTCAAAGCGTGCCTGGCATTTTTGCCGCAATCGTTGTGCAATAAAACGCCGCACCACCATCCTATGGCCGCAAGCAAGTCGGGCCTTGAGTTCAATCTCTCAGACTTTCAATGTCATCGCTCACGCCCATCAGCTACTTTTGAGGACTCCGCATCAAACATCGCTTATGCAAAAAGCTGCGCAACCAAGGCACTTGGCGAACCTCAATTCTGCTGCGCGGCCTCGGGCATTTAGTCGAGCAGGTCTGGTGTTTGATCTTGGCAGCAAAGGGTTATCGACAACCAACGCAAGTGCCGCTTCCATGAGCCTCTTGCATAAGCCTAGACAGAACATTTTTGATCTTTCAAAACATAAGCCGTGAAACCCTATGCATCTTTTTGGATCTTGCCAAACTCCTAAAACAAACAAGTTTTTTTAAGAAGCTTACCTTCCTACATGTTTTTTTATTTTTGCATAAGTCCAAAATTTAAACCACGTGGACGCTGTCACACTGAATCGCATGTACTCCTAAACAGATGGCGGCCATGGTCTTGAGAAACTTTGAGCTCTATGCATTCATATTTGCATCTACTTGTACCCCACGACTGCAATGTGGAATTTGATATTGGGAGCGACGGGCTGTCACTTCCAATGATCATTTTGCACAAGACTAGGCCAACAAATCTTGATCTCGCAATGCGTAAACCCTTACACCCTCCGCAAATCTGGCATGGTCTTGGGAGAGTTTGAATTCTATGCATTCGCTTTTCATCCTTACTTGTACCCCACAACTCTGATGTTGAACTCCACCTCGTACGGAAGCGACAGGTGCTGAGTGCATCCTGACCTGGGATTCCCAGCTTGAAGCATGAGGGTAATGTTACTTGCGGGTTCAATTTCCGATTGATGTGGGTGGATGCTGGACTTAGGGAAGCATAGCGTTCGCAAGATTAGAAGTCTTAAGGGTTTAATTTCCGAATGGTATAGGTTGATGCTGGATGTAGGGATTCGGTTTGGGGCTATAAAGGGTGTGGTGTTTTGTTTAAAAATGATGAAAACCGGGCCTGACTCAGGTGAGAACTTGATATTGGGTCTTGGCATTCTGTGGCACATTCCCTGGTGGTGCTCTTCAAGATTGCGGACCTGTCAGGGCAGCATCACAAGAATAGATACAACCCAAACTGGAAAAACAAACATTTTCTTTTAGTCAATGGCTGCAAATCAGAAATCCCAAACAACAAATCGAGAATCCCAGGCACAACGTTGTACTCATTCCACGGCGAAATTTCATTCCAAAGCTAAAGGTCGTGAGACCTCCCATCACGTGTTAAACCAAGATGGTGGCATTACGGATGTCAAGCACACAAGTGTCCCCAGCCAAGGAGAGTTTGGAAAGGGTGCATTTCCTAATTCATGCTCTTTCTGATGCAGACGCCTCGCGCAAAGAGTTTTACTGCACATTGCGAAATAACTTAGCTGGGGCTCGCAGAGCCTTTTAAAACAAAACCAAGCCCAAGCTTGCGTTTTTGGAGAAGGCTCCTTTAGGAATGATGCTTCGCGATTTGAATGTGCATCGGCACCATCAACATGGTCTAGGGTTGAGGACATCATCATCACCATACAAGTGGTGGTACCCACGCGTCCGATATTCGACGGTGGGAAAATCCGCCGTTGGTGATCTCAAACGGTGTTTTCGCTGTGGTAATTAATTCCTCACTTTGCTGATTCGCTCCAAGACATTGCCAGGGCCAAAACACCTCTTTGGCAAACGGTGTGTGTGTGTGTTTTTTTTTTTTGCGTTTCGCGATGTGAGTTCAATCATTTTCACACAGATATACACATATTTGCGTTTTTGCTGTCCCTTATTCTCAGTAAACCATTGCATCCATTTCTTGCATCCGGATAGCCAAGATGCTAACATCAATGTTGCCACTGCATCCATTTCTTTGCATCCGGAAAGCCAAGGCTAACATCCATGTTACCACTGCATCCATTCTTTGCATCCGGAAACCAAGATGCTAACATCCATGCTATCTGCATCCATTTCTTCGCATCCGGATGACAACAATTCTAACATCCATGTTCCCAGGACAAAGTTTGGATGAACTTGCTGCCTTTTATTGGAACTCCTGCCCTTCTCACGCCGGTGTTCTCACCACGCTCGGATGATGCTTCCAGCGACATGAGAACATGCCTCCTGGCGATGCCTTGTGCCAATGCACAGTGAGGAACGGTGCTGTTTCAGCTTGCCATGGCTACGCCCTGGAACCACGCTACGAGGCATCCTGGACCTGCATGCCAAACCTACGTCTTTTGGCCCTGGCAAGCGCTCCAATACCCTGCAACTTCCTGAAATTATCAAATTGTTTTTCCATGACAGGCACAGTGTTTCCAGCAACAATTCCATCATGCCAAAACCACACCGTCAAATAGCACTAGGAATATGCGCAGCTGGGAATTGCAACAAAGCTGCGCAACCTTGCAACGCGCAGGCCAGAATATCTTCAAGGCTCTGTTGAAGCAGAAAGAACGCATGCAGGATATGTTTCTGAAGGCTTCAAATTCGAGCCCAAGGAACGCTTGAGCCATTATCCGCTCACACAAATTAAGCCGCACAAACCATTATATCCATTCCCTCACTTCAGATACAATGTCTTCAAACTTATTTCTTTCCGCATAAAACTTTCATCCATAACCTTCAAATCCTCTGCCATGATGCTCACGCGCGTCGTTCTGGAAGCAGAGTACCTCAGAATCAAAACCCAAATCTGAGGATGTGCAACAAGGGTTAAAGGTTGAAGCAAGCGTTTTACTTGACCCCGAGATGCAATTTCTGTTGGGTCTGTTCTTCAGGGTTTCCCTTCTACTTCTTAGCAAGACACCAGAAGGTCAAAGCAGGACTTCTCGACACGGGATGAAGGGAGCGAGAGCTAAACTGTGTACGGGATTTCCGTTTTTTTCTGGCATGCGGAATTGGGTATTTCACCTAAGGTGGTTGCTGGATTCTTGCCGTTTGTGGAAAGCTGCATGCCCGCAAGAAGGAGCGAGCTGTGAGAAGAAAGCCAGTGCGGTCGTAAATCCATAAATGTAACCCACGACAAACACACAGAATCGTGAAACATAAATTAATGTGCAAGCCACATTGAAAGCTTATATCAGAGATGCCAAGATGATTTCAAAATTACAATCATGGTCTTCAACGAAACCATGAAGCTCGTTCACTGAGTGGTCACAAGAATAAAGTCTCAAAACTGCACACATATGAGACATGTATATGCCTGCATAAACCAAAGGAATTGATGGTCTTCGCAGAAAGTAATACGAGGACCGGAAATTCAGAAATTGCCAAACACTAAACAACCTAAAGATTCCAAGCATCTGACTAACTTCAAGCTGAAACCCCAATCCCTGGCTCTCAAATTTACATTGGAAACATCAGGAATTTCGGTGCTGCGTCACCATCTCGTCAGCCACGAGGCGACGAACCTGGACATTGCAAGGGTGACCTCCCTAAGAGTAAACCATCTTATCTCCTCATACATAACCCATCATATATGATGTTGAAACCACCGTTATATAAACCAGGGGAAATATTGGGGCGTGTGGAGGAGATGATCATATAGTTCAGGGTTGACGCTTAAAATATATGAGCCCGTGGGTAACTATCAGGCATGAGCTTCGTGGCTCAAGGTGGCCTTGAGTAATTGAAAAGTTTACAGAGCTTTTCACCCTGTATACACCCGACCGATTTAAATTGCTACTCACGTCTACTAGTGCCTTACCTGTAACTTACTCTGTAGATAGCGTCCTGACAGGGAGGAGCAGGCGGCGCATCGGACATGGAATGTAAGGGGTCTGTAAGTACTTCTAAATCAATACTGGTGAACTTCCAAATCTTGTATCCCGTCTCCCAACTGAGACATATACTGTTGAGAGAGGGGAATGCCTTGTGTCAGAAGGTGAGCTCACGCTTCAGTAGTGTGGCTATTGTTGATGCACAAATTTCAGGGATTGCCTGGTACCAGGTTGAACGTTTCATTCTTGGGCTTCGCTGCCTTTGCCCTTGGCCGATAAAGGTGGGACGTGAGCACTGTTGGTTTTTTCAGGATGCAGACAGCTAATTTTAAGTGTCTCTGATAATGAGGGCGGTGCTGCAGGTTTCCGGTGTATTTCTTTGCAGAAGGTCGTTTTATCCCAACCAGTGCAGGGCCTAGGGCTCAAGGGATGACTTGTACCTAAAGCTACAGGCTAACGGTGCTAAGCACATCTTGTGATTGGGACGCCTAGCGCGTGTACTGACATATTGCACTCCTCTGTTTGCTGGAATCCATATCGGAATCCTGCAAACATCCAAAACTTCTATGTGCCTCTGCAAACTGCTACGTACTAATCACACCTTCAAGATACTCATGGCCTGGAGCACCCCGTGAGGCAGAAGGCTACATCCGAAATCCAAATTTCAAGCTCTAGACCTGTTGGGAAACAAGCATCAAAAGTCACCCAAAAGCGGCAGCAAACTCCCGCGAAGCCAATAGCCTGGACCCAACCATCCCCTCAGCCAACTCTCTCCCAGGCCAGGAAATGTAGACGCATCTGAGGATGCTGCCGAACCATGGACAGTATCGCAAACCATGGCTTCGAAACTGCCTGCGTTCAGAGTTCGCCAGGGCTACAGGTTACATTTTGTTGCAAGGCTCCCATTCTGAAATTGGTTTAAGGGGTAGGGTTCATAGAAAGCTTCTGTTGACACCATTGCCAAGGACAACAAGCCCTGATGCCTGGGCGCTATATGAGTTGTGATGAACACACACATATATATGTATATATATATATATATATCTGTTGCTGTGACATGTGACTGATGCTGGAAAGAGAGGGGACTGTATGATGCTGCCACGATGAGCTCTATGTCCAATTTGGTATCTGGTGCTTCGCCAAATGCTGGTGTCTGCAGGAGACCAGAACATGTAAGGAATCATGTGAGCTCATGTATATCTCCCGTGTCCCCAACGCAACGCCCCAGATGCACTCATCAACATGCCTAAAATTGCCAAAGAAAAAACCCACATGCCTTTGTCATCATGTGAGCTGGCAGAAAATCTTGTGCAAGTAATGGACGTGGGTCTACTGAGGAATACATTTGGGATTATATTCAATCATTGCGAGCAAGCGATATGTCCACCTTGCTTTTGCAAGCTGTATGTCGACACTAGCTCAGTCTGAACTTTCCCAAACTGAAACCGTTGAAACCCACCTTGAAATACCTGAATTACCAAATCCTACACCACTAAGCCCTGCGATCGCAAACCCCATGAAGAAAGGTTCCAGTGCCCTTCTCAGGGGCAGGCCGAAACTTCTGAAATCTCGGGTCCCAGTGCTACAAGGTTACACCCACCCACATACGGCTTGAATCGTGGCATTGTCTTGCAAATTCCCCAGAAGAGGTTCTTTGCTGAAGTACTTCTGGGCAGCGGGCAGCGTGTTGGTTGGTAAGGGGTGACATAAGTGGGCTGCCACAAGATGCGTAAAACTAATAGCTCCACTACAGCAATTTCAGTGGTGGAGGGAATCTTAACCCCACACGTGATTCTGGCTGGAAAATTCAATGATGCATGGTGCCTAGAAGGCTTGAGCAGCTATAGCTTAAGTTCAAGCTTCCAGTCATAAGGCCTGAGCCTGTCCGCTTTTTGGGTGTTTAAAGGTTAGGTTTGAATTCACAGCAAGGTTAGAACAGCAAGCAAACATGATTACCTTCTATTGGCTTCCTGGCATGCCATAGATCACCTGAATTCTAAACCTTTCACTGCTTCCTACCTAAACCGAAGCCTCAAACCCTGAAGCTGAATGCCTGAAGCATCGCCCGACATGTTGGAAATCTCAGCGAAATCCAGACGCCTGTGGTGGTAACCTGATCTTGTGGGGTTGTCTCAGAACGAAGGGCCCTTTAGGGGAGAAGGTTTGCTTTAACAACTGGCTGAAAAGTCTAGAAAATAGGCTTCCTTCGGGTCTGGAAAGCTTGTACAAATAGCAAATCTTCATGTGGAGGGCATGAGATGTTGCTTGCGCACAGTACCCTTTTGAGATTTGGAACAAGTACAGAATCAGCAATGGCACGAAACACCACTCTTTGTGAACAGCAATGAAGTGCAAATGAATTCTAGTAATGCGCGATGGAATTTTACTTGCTTACAACTTTCAAGAAGCACAAGGAAGCCCTTTTCCTTTTCAGAAAGCCCACGCTCCCAAAATAAAGTGCTAACTTAGGCGGCCCTTCTTTGCTCAAGATTAAGATCGAACACCTAGCTGTGAATGTGGTTCTTCTTGAAGCTAGCTGTTCTGGGAAGGATAAAAATTGATGGCCGCGAGCCCTCCAACCCACTGGATGGGCAGAGGAGAAACTGAGTCCTTTGGCTTGCACTCAGGGCAACAGACCTTCTTGTGAGAAGAGAAGGCTGGTAGAAGATTGCTTGCCTATTTTGGTTGGCACGTTGGTTTCAACAAACCACTCTGAAACCCGCAGTGATGCAACTCTTTCTGTTGCAAAGCCACCGCGCGCATGCTGCGCGAGCAGGGCCGCGCCCCGAACCACGACAGAGGCCTCGCTTCTCAGTCTGTGTCTAGGGCATGGGATTAAGACTCACGGTTTTGATTCAAAGTCATGGTGTCTAGCATTGACGGGTGCAAAATGTTGCGATGTCCTACTTCCACTTTTCGGACGTCAAAGAGATCCCAGACGTATAGTTCGTAGCAAACGGAAATGCAAAATAGGGAGTGCAGTTGTCTAGGAGCTGCGTGGAGAACAGACAAATCCCAAGGTCACGGTGCAGTTAGAGCCCTGGTGACCGCGGATCACAAGCCCAGATACTTGCACCAGTATGAGCGCGATTCTCAACCCGGAAGTCAAAAAGCTTCCAGAAGGACAGACTTCGGGTGTTGTACCGAAACCAATGTGAAGGTCCCTTTAGACGACTGTGATCCCAGAAGCATGGCGTGTTGATGGCAGCGAGTCCCATAGGATCCAGTCCTGTCAGGCTTCAAGGCGCACATTTTCCCGGACGATCCAAAGGATCAAAAACAGACAACCCCAACATGAACCCCATGTTCCATGCTTCCAAGTTCAAGTGTTATCTGGGAGGTCCGTTCATTCAAAGGATCCGTGGGCATCCAAGTCTGTCAATCTCAAAGGCTAAACCTAAACCATCAATTCCTTCCCTGCCGGGATCCTGCGAATGGTCTAAAACGAAGCCCACGTCGGCTCATAGGGAACGCAGGCAAAAGTGGGGTGTCACAGAAGAGCCTTATTGTCATGAAGGTTGTAAGTTCTTGGGATTGAGAATTGTTCGGCGTGAAGCGCCGACACCTTCAGGCTTTTCTTGCCATAGGTGTCAGAGTGCTAAAGGCATTGATGCTTCAAAACTTGGTACCGATCAAAACAAGGATATACATGTTGAGAACATCCCATGTGAGAGTATCTGTCTGCGAGCCGTCCAAACTTCAATACCTGCTCACACTAAACTCGAAAGCCAAAGAGCTATAAATTCTGAAGCCATGGACGCTACACACCACCCATTACAAAAGTCATGGGTACAAAGAAAAGTGTACGATTCAGGGAATATAACATACTTTTACCAGGTACCACGTGTAAACAAGGTAGAAGGACAACAGATACGTCAATGATTCTGAAGTGGCTGCTTTTTACGGCTATACCTAAGTTTAGGGTACTGCATGGAAGCAGGAACCCCTACAAGGCCTCTTAAGGGCACAATGTCTCAAACTCTTCAGTGCCAGGTGGAACCTGAGACTATTCAGCTAAAGCTCTGAGGCCAATTACAAGGGTCCAGACTTCCAGAGCAACGCTCTTGAACCCAAGCGAGAACTCGAGCCTCCAACTTAAGCTCTTCCCTTCTGAAGATCTACAAGGACTCTCTTTCTGATTTAGTGGACAGAAGCCGTCGGGCTACGAGGGCTCACTATTGGGCTATAGCCTTCGTGAAGCCCCAGCACTCAACGTTCAACCATGTCTTATCTCTTGCCTCTTCTATGTAGCAAATTAAACTAAAGAACAGTCTACCTCTTCTAATCCCTGTGTCGCCTCGGAGACTTCCCTGCCTTTCAACGGAAGGTTTCTGAACTCGGTACATACATGATCGGAGATCCACGCTACATTTCCAATATCTCCTGTTTTCTACCTGCTTAAGCAAGAACAATCCCCAAACCCATAGACCCTTAACAAAATTGTAGATTCTAAATCCTCAAGCATAAGCCCCAACGAGGACTGAAGCCCCACACCGCGTCCTGGCCATGCAGCACACAATGGCTTGGAGCGGGAGCTGCGAACGCAAGGACTGCGTCTAACTGCTGTGCCTGGGAGCATGTCACTATGTAGAATTCCTCACTTGGAACAAACCAGTATCACAGTTTATTCTTCTTTGAGTTGTTGGTGGTAGCGGTGGAAATACTAGCACGATTATGCTTGTAGTCATTGACGGAGAAACGTAATGGTTACAGCTAAACTTCTGAGGATCACGCGCTGGCTCCTGGAGGAACATGCACGAACTACAGCCTCAACTCCCAAGCCCCATCTTAAACCTGAAGCTCTGCAGAGTTGCAAAGCTCAAAAAACAATGCTGGTGGGAAAGGCAACCCCCTGCCAACTCCAATCCTCTGCAAAGCTCCTTCTGGCTTTCTGGGGTGTCATGCTATTTTGGGCAAGCAGACTGTTTTTTGTGTTTTATTGACATGATCACCCCATGTGTAGACTTACCGATAGTGACAGTGAGATCGCACCTCATATCCTTCAAAGATTACGAAGCTGGGGCGCGAAGGCTTGGCCTAGCGCCGTGTGCCGCACACGCGTCTCACCTGATAGGTCCTGGCATCTGAAGAAAGCTGATGTAGGGAGATGCTTAGGGAATGTTCAGAATTTGTTGGAAATAAGGTTTTAGACAGATGTTTGTGTATGGTTTCCGGGTGGAGAGCTTTTTGCTTGGGATACTTAATGATCATATCTAGAGCTAACCTGTCATTGGCGAGGAGAGGGCCTTGGGTTTGGCGAACAGGGGTTCTATGGAAACCTATCAAGCTTGGCAGAGTTTCTCACAAAATCTGCAATAAGCAAGTGTCTTGGCTTTTGGTTCGCTACAAACCTCCAAGAACATCATGTCCTGCTGAAGTGATAGGTTCCTGTAGAATCCCATAGAAATGCGGGGGCTTCCTAAATGCTAGTAACTGTAGGAACGTTTCTGGGCTTGTCTTATTGCAACTTTCATGGAGTCTGAGTGAAGCCCTGAACCCAAAATCCAGAGATGTTTGATTCTCCGCTGTTGCTTTTTTGGGAACGATTTCAAAACCCAAAATCCTAAGCCCAAATCCTGCCAAAACCTCCAGCGCAGGCTGCGCCTCCAATTCTTTATTCAGCCGGCGCCACGCTGCCGTGAGGATCTTTGCCTCGTTGAAACCTGTCTTTGCTGGTTCTTCTACTCTCCTAGCTAAGGGGGAACCTTTCGGGGTAAAGGGGGTAGTACATGATGTCTGTACTGAGCCTGGAGTGGTGTTTAGGGCTTGAACTCCCCTGAAGATCTACAAGTATTGAAAAAGGGGGGATTGTGGAGGGTCTGCTCAGTGATCGTGTAGGGATCATTTTGAAAGACTTTCATTTCCAGTATGGGCTTAGGTTTGGGGTTAACCGCCTAAGATTTGAAAAGGTCAAGGTGTAGCGTTCGGCAGGTTCGATGCGGTTGGATGCGGTTGTAATGCAGTGGATCCTGTCATGACTACATAGAATGTTTTCACGACTATGGACACTGAGTTGGGGTCTCTCGGATGCGGAAGCCTATTGCTTGCAAGAATGCCTAGGGCCAGCATCCTGCATTTTGAGTATGAAAAGTACCAGAGCAGGTGTGGGACGTTGATCGGTTCTTTTGTGCTAGTGCTACTGGCAACAGACATGGTCATCGTAGTGACAGTGGTCAAACCAGGCCTAACAGCAACGATAATCATGGTGATGATAAAAAGCCGTGAACAATCAACATTTCAAGAGCAGTCCCGTCCTTCAATATTGCGCCTAAGCATACATGAAATTTCTGGATGCACAAATGGGGCACAACATAGGAATTCCGATTGCTGAAGGCATGCGACTTCGATAGCTTCGATAGCTTAGGTGGACCCCCCACCCAGTAATGGTGACAATAAGGGATAATAAGGATTATATTAGGGTCCTATTATATTCCTATTATATCACTATTACAGGGTGGGGGGTCCTCCTAATGGATAGCTGACCAAGCATGACCAGGGTCGGCACTTGAGGTAACGGCGTTCAACTGACACCAACGCAAAACGTGGAAGATGCTCGCAGAATAGCTCATTCAGGCTTCTTGAGGGCTTTCCAGTGTACATCCGTATGTGAGCTTACATGCTTAGAGGCGATGGTTGAGGCCGAGGCGTACAAACGCCTAAACGGGTATAATTTAGTTTCCAGATTTGTTTGAAATACATCCTCACTACTTGAGAAATTGGTAGGAGACTCTCGATGGACGAGCGAAGCCTCTTGAGCAAGCTAGCATGCCTCTCCTGAGCTTATACCTCCAATCATAAGCCCTCAACTTCCCCAAAAACCTGTCGCCCAAAAAGTCTGAACTACCACCCCCATGAAAATCTGTGTGCCCTCCTGCTCGTGCCAGGCCGTGCATGTCGTGGCGGTGCTGAAGATCCATTGCAAGCTTTAAAGCCGCCTGGCAGGCTTGGAACTTGGGATGTCGGAGAGGTAGGCTTTTGAGGCTTCAGACTTTGGGAATTCCGGCTTATTCTTAGATAGGTCTCGCGGGTGTGTGGCAGAAGTCCAGCAACACCGTCTACGTCTGGGTGATGTGGAGCTTCTCAAAACAGCCCCGCGAATCATCTGTAAGCAGGCTCCTATGATCCCCCCAGAGTCTGCGTTAGCTTTTAAGGCGGTGAGGTCATGTTTTTCTGAGTCTTTGGAAGGCCTACCTGAGTTGATCCGAGCCCCTGGGTAAAGCCGAAACAGGAACGTAATTCTTGGAAAGCTCCAACCATGTCCTCGGGAGCCAGGGACCATACGAATATCTCCCTTGCTTGACAATCGGCAATCAGAATATATCAGTCATCACATTGGAGTTTGCGTGAATTATTGTTTCCCCAGTTGGGCTGCACTGCGGCAGGAGCCCAAATATGGGGCACGCATGAAACTGGATTTGAATGTTCTGAACACAATCCAGAAAACGCATACTGATTTGTGCATACATATGTCCCGAAAATTGGACACAACATTGCACACGCCGAACGCCGTGACAAAGCCCCCTTTTCATCACAAGAAATCCCGGGGACCAACACACCTAGTCCCAAGATGGAGATTCATTACGTCTTCGCACTGAATCATCCCCCTTGACAAGGATGCCTCGTCTTCGGACACTGCCAGTGCAAAGTTTGCATCAACCACTGCTACCAAAGTAAGGGACCCCACGACTCTCCACAACCCAACCAACCCCCTGCCAGTATACATTACGAATATACTAGTGGGGATATTTCTCATTCGTGGCTTGGCTGACTTGGGCTGTTTTGCACAAGGATCTGCGCAACAATAGCTGGCTTGAATCTTCACATTCATTGAAGCCATGTTTCCTAAACGCTGACTTGCAAGTGTTGCCTGCGCTTTCGGCAAGACTGGGGGCATGAACTCGCCGAATGAAGCCACAAGGCTCAGGTGCATGATGCCTCGCTTTTGTTTGTATCCATGTACTCGTAATGTGTCGGATTTTGTGTCTGGAGTTTGGCTTCCCTGGGCCTAGAGTGTCTTCCATGTAGGGCAACAACAGCGAGTGGAGAAGGGCCTAGGCATCCTGAAAGTGAAAAATGCTAGACGAGCGGAGGGGGGACATAGATATGATTGACCGGGGCGTGAGCCGTGAGCCCTTCAAACCTCAAACTCAAATCCCACAGCACCCGCGTCCTGAGCCCTGAGCCCCGAAGCTTAACCTTACACGCATGGTCTCCATTGCCTACAGGCTTCCCTACCCTTTTTTGCTACGTGCTTACTATTATGCTCCTGATGCGGCAGCGATCTAGGTACCAAACCAAAACCGGGGGAAACTGCAGCCCTTAAGCCGAATTCGTAAATGTTGGAATAGCTGAGGGTTTCAATGCCAAAAAGCGGTAGAGCTCGGGCATCTGTAATAATGCCGCGGCCCGCTTCCTCAGCCGATCTCTAATATGCCTGCAGGCACTCAACCTTGAAAAATTATCTACCTACCTAATCTATGCGATGCATGTACCCCTACGGGCCGCTGTCCCAATACATGGTAAGGGCTACTAGGGGCATCTATTTGCAACCTAAGAACAGATTTGGGGGTGTAGCGTGTCAGGACGAGATGTCTTACCTCAAGATCCTCCGGGGTGTGCCTAGCCTTTCATATCAGATTGAACGGCCCGCAAACAAGCATCAGAGCCTTTTGAGTGAATTGCAGGTCTTGATCTTCCGGGATTTGGGCAAGGTGGCTCAGCAATTGGGGATTTGGATGCTCTGCTTTTGGCGTGTGCATGAAACAAGCACTGCGAGGCAGCAACCCTTAACCCATGCTTCCTGCGGGAGGCCTTGGGATAGAATGAGCAGAACAAGGCTGGTTTCTCGTAGAACATGGCAACAAGAAGGCATGTTGAAAACTGTGCTTGCTATTGGGGATACAGCCCAAGCTAGCTTGCTCCTTCCCTGCACTTGCAATAGTATTTTCTCAATCAGCTTAGAAGGTAGGCAGCCTCTGAGGTCCCAGAGATCCAGAGTGTTTTGCGGGACCAATCTTATGGGACAGGCCTGTGCCAGTTTATCCCAATTTCCACTGAATTACAAGACGGCAACCCTAAACTCGAAGCCGAAAACTTTGCAACTGCAAATCCACGGGATGCTTTTCAGGCAGTGGGCCGAAATGCAAATACTTTGGCCAGCTTTAAGCCAGCGCTTGCTAACTCAGCTTAGCCAAGCATGCCTTGTGACTAAGATGCTGATTCCCGGGCTCCTATGTAAAAGCGATCCATCTAACTCGTAGTTTCTTCATAAGATTCCCTTACACAAAGCCCACCCAATCCCCTCGGCAAAGCCCTCAGAAATCCTTATCAACCTGTCATAATTTCTCCCTACTCCATCGCCCAATGCGCCCAGCATCTGCCCCTGCTTCGAAACGTTGGAGGCCGATGCCATGTGAAGGAGCCTGCAGGGCTCCAGAGCCCTGGGGGATTTCGGGAATTTAGGATTTGTGATTGAAGGCTTCAGTGGACAGCGATACGTGTTTTGTGCAGGTATAAGCCTTGGTTTCCTGTACGGATCCTCAATGGGCACCCGAATAAAACCCATGATAATACGTCTACATTACGTCGTTGGCTGCGGCAGTTTTAAACCCTTCACAAAGGGCCCAAGCCCCACATCCTGGTCCAAGTCTCCATATTCCAGACATCTAAGGTCTGCTCCATCCCCTAAGCTCCTCCTTCCCCAAAACTGAGAGTCTGTGTGTGGTGTGAATCCTGCAGAAGTCTTGAACTAGGCATGGCACTGCACTGCAGTCTCCACATGGGGCGCTCGTGGCTTCGACTCATCAGGTACCTTGGGGGTCTACATCGTGGGAAAGCTTGGAGTTCATGTTTTGATAGTGTTCAGTACTCAGTCCTATTTTCTCTAGTCTTAGGGATTCAGGGTCGGTGTGCTGACAACTTTCCAAGCCCCCCGCCCTTAGCATTAAAGCCTGGGACCAACTGCGACAAACAACAAGGAGGTCATGATCAATTTATTTCTTGCTCCAGTAACTTGAATGCTCTCAATGGTAGCTGTCTCCAAGTTACCCAAGCCCTAACTCCTATAACTCAACGTTTTGGGTCCCGGGTATGAGCACGGTGATGTGAAAACACTTAACTAGGATATCTGTGCCCCAAAGCCTGCTCAAGCTTGACCCAAAACCCCAAGCCTAACCCGAAAACCCCCTCCGAAAAAGCTACAGCTAGATCTGATCTGTTGGACTACGCACGCGTTAATGCTAAACTTGTCAATACGAATTCAGGACCATTCGGACCGTTTCGAGATTTCAGGGAAGTCCCACAGTTAGTTCGAGGGAATGATCGTATGTTCCTAACACCAGGTCAGGGGCAAAGCAATGCACAAATCGGAGGAGCCACGAACTCCAACCCTGAAGCTTGCACCCGAAACTTAGAAGTCCTGAAATCACTGAGATCACTGGTTTCGGTCTCCAAACCCGTCCCTGCATTGTAGAAAACGGAGGTATAAGTGGAGCAATATAAGGCAGGGCCCTCTAACTGCTGGAATTTAAGCATCCTAGGGTTTGTGGGTAAGGTTTGGGCTTTGGTGGCTAGGGTCTGGGAACCCACTATGAAGGTCTAAGTGCCCCAGGGTAGAATCGAATAAGACCCAGCAACAACGTCCCGACTAATAATCTTTATGACAAGCCTGTCATCCAAATCCGAATCGGCAAGATCATTAAGCACGTGACCTACTCCGAAACCTAGAAATTAAACCCTTGTCGTTAAAACCTGGTTCCTCATGCCTTTTTAAGCTTACATCCTACATGCAATACATTAAAGCTCACGTGCTAATTCCAGAAAACGGCGGTTTAGGGACTCTTAGGATATACAGGGGTGATGGTGTGATTCTGGGGTCCCGATGGAGGATTCTGTTGAAGCAGTGTTGAGAAACTCCCACGGCCTAGAGCCCATGCCCCAAGCCAAGCCACTCCATCCAGGCCCTCCTTGACGGAGGCAGCCGCCGCTGGCGGGGCGGCCTCTGCAGCCGCCTGCAAGGCGTAGCGTACCTGGGAGTTCAATCGGCCTAAAGGGGAGCTAGGGGGCACTTTACCCGATGGCTTAGGATTGGAGTGTGCAAAGTACAGGGTGTACTGGGGGATGCAGAGAGCTGTCCAAACTACGGTGTTCCTGTTTTGGGTTTTGTGCTCAGAAGGAACCTCAAAAGCGACCATTTACAAAGCAGGTGTTGTTCTTTGGAGTATGCAACTGGAGGGTTGGGGTTGGAGGGATTCAGGGCGTTTAGGACCTGGGGGCTAGGGGGATTAAGGTGACTCAATGTCGTGCTCTGCTTTGGCGGCTTGGGTTTGAAAGACTTCGGTTTCAGAGGTTTGTTTTCAAGCATTGTGAGGGGTGTGGCCATTCAGAAGACCTCTGGTCAAGTCTACATAGGTCGTCGGTCATGGACCCTTGAGCTAGCCTTGCAATGCAGATGCTGGCACCAAAATTGTGAATTGTGCATCTATCCTCCTGCTACCCAATCCATGGCCCAATGTATTCTAATTACAATCCCTGTTTAGGATTACCAAGCAACTCTTCGGAAACAGTGGGGAGCTTGAGGAAGAATTGCAGGGAGTATCAGGGAGCGCTGGTTCGCCTACTCTGAGGGACCTGAAAAGTAAGCCGTCTGGTACATGCCGACCAGATTTCGCCAGGCCCTAACCCACAGTAACCCAGTACATACACGCACATGCAGGTGAAGCTTAATTTTGGCGCACCCTGCGCTCTGAACCCTGAACTCTAAACCCATGCTAACCCTGAAGTCCCAATTGCAATAGTTCCCAGAAAGAGAGAACTATTCCAGTAATTTCGAGCCCTACCTTGCACATTCATGACATCAGAATTCGCAGCATGCCGAAGGGTAACGAGTTCCGGTCGGAGATGTAGGCATGAGTAGCTGTGACAGAAGAGTCCAGGGAAGAGAACTTGGGGATGGAGCGTGCCCCTCAAATAACGGAAGTCTATGAGGTCTCGCTGTTTCCTGATGCAGGAGGACCATATAAGTTACAAGGTGCCGTTTGATTTGCTGACCAAAAAACCCCAAAAGAAGTGTTTGGGTCACAATACCATGCCAAGTGCAGCCGAAACGGCCAAACCTCCGTCAACCAGCATGTCAGCCAGGAGAGACACTTGCTGGGCAACTTCCTGCCTCAGCTTATTCAGGATCCATGGTTTAAGGCTTAAGGAACCTCAGGGTTGACTGCAGCCGAACCCACAGGGCGTCTTCCTGGGCAACGGGGTGATGCCGGCGTTTCAAGTTACTGGCTGCTACAACAGGGTTTGGGAAATGTCTTTCTATGAGTCAGACTTCTATGCACCAGCGAGTTAAACTTAAGCATCATGAAGGGTGGACTGTTGCAGCTGGCAGGGCAGATTCTGGAAAGAGTTGGGACGACTTCCCTGTAGGCAGGAGGAGACGAAATAACAGAGTACAGACTGCCTTGAAGGATACTCATGCCTATCCAATGCAGGTGTACTGTATCTCCGATATAGTAATATAATTCCGTACATCCAGAATCCTTTAACCCTGAACTTGAACCCTAAGCCCTAGACCACCTAATCCCAAAAAGTCCTAAGCCTTACAACAACATCTAGCTTCCATTTTATTCTCAATTATCCCAATATAACCTCAATACATACCCAATTATAATGTAATAGTTTCCATTTAAAACCACCGAAAAGGGGACCCTAGTATAGACCCCAAAATACTATAATCCTTATTATGGGACCCCCAAGAAGGTACGCCTAATTTTGGGAAACCCAAATCCCCATAAACCCCAACATCAACCCAGTTTCCATCTGATTTGCTGTTTGATTCTCCATTATTGGGGGGTAACATTCCTTTTCTCTTGGGAAACCCCCATCTCTATCCTGAAGCCCCTACATTCGAAGATCTTTGATGCCAAGTTGCAGAGCGATACGGGCAGCTTTGGCCGCCCGGCTCCCCGCATGCAAGGCACGCTTCGCGGCGAGCTGGACTGCCAAGAAGTCCTGAGGTTAATGTTTGGAACTTAGGGTTTGGGGCTTAGGGTTTTAAGGTTTAGGGATTAGGATTTAGGGTTTAGGCCTTAAGTTACCATAGTATGGGTTAATGTGCAATTGTAGAAGACTCTGGCAGACACGAAGCCATTGTTTTCAAGAACTGCTGTTGGGGTCTATGTGACTTGTGAAGGGTCTGGAGGAATCTTAAAATCGTAGGTGTCTATGCACATTTGAGGAGTTATAGGAATCTTGAAGCACGGGGTCTATGTGAAGTTTTATGGAGTGTCACCACGAGCTACAGATCAGCTACAGTAGAGAATTTTGACACTCCCTTGTGAAGATTACAAGTTTCGAGCAGTGTCAGGCATCCTGAGACCTGGGCTGACTGTGAGGGTTCCAGGGTTTTGAGGAAGTTTGGAGCTTCTGTCTGGTCTTTCTGCTTTCGCGCACTTGTAAGAATCCTGAATTTCTGGTGTCTGTATAGGGTTTTAGAGATCTTGAAGAGTTCGTGAGAATCTTGACAGTCTTTTGGCCCTTGTGAGATTTGGAAACGTTTGCTACCAACTTCCCTGTGTCTTTTTTTGTAGGAATTGTAGGAAGAGATCCCTCTGACAAGCCATATACACTCTAAAAGATCATAACCCGACATTGATCCATCCCAGCATTCCCGACAAACCCTGAACCCTAAACCTTAAAAAACCAAACCCCAAACCCGACATCTGAAACCCTCAGCCCTACACCCTAGACCCTAAACCATAAATCAGCGAGGGACAGAGCTGCACTGCGAGAGATAAGCTTCCGTGATCGTCGTAGCAGTCTTCACGTGGTTGACTTGCCTCTTTCAATCCACCAATCCCCGAATCATGGATGCGTCAAACATAGCACACTCTTGCTTGAGAGGCGTATCCACTTTGTTGGGGTGGCGGGCTTCACCAGAAAGAACCCTCCAAAGAAAGCAAGTGCTTCTGGGTTAGGGAGGGTAATTTGGGGTTGAAGGTCACTTGCCTGGATCGACTTTATGGTGTACGGGTGCAATGTATCCGGTCCAAGGGCCTAGAAACCCCAATGCAAATCAATCGCAGAATTGTGCACTCGCATGAATAAGATGGTGTCGAAGGAGGGGCTCACACTTGGGACATCACAGCGTGGGTACTGTGTTCGGCACCATAATCTGGTAGGCTTTGTTTCGATGCCTCTTGATGATCCTAGACCCTCTTAGTCCGGAATGTGCGATACTCAGCATCCTGTTTGTCGACATGCAGGACGGTAGGTCACACAGCATCTGCACTTGAAGCCACAATGTTCTGGCAACAGGAGCCTGTAAATTGGGATGTCAATCACATCAACTCATACCATCAATTTCTGTTGTGCCTGGAGGGCACTGCAGAGAAGCAGACTTGGGTTCGCCAAGTTGTAGTCAGGCCACTTTTGAAATGCTGGGAAGCTTCTGACCCTACTGCCTCACAAGCTTATTTGAGATCCTACGTAGAGCTTGAATCCTAAACCATCCTGTATAGGCTTTCCACGAACGCGCAAGCCCACATCAGCCATCCACCCCATTTTGGTGAAATGTCAGGTGTATCCGAGGATATTTTCAATATACATATCCTGTGCAAGGTGCTGTGCAGAAAATATACCTACTTGCAAGGTCAGGCAGACTTAGTAAGCAAGTTATAATGGGGATAACTATGGTTATTCTATGCGTTATAAGGGTTACTTCCCTACTTACTAAGTCCCCATGACCCTCCAAGGACTCATTGGCAAACTTGTGCTAGCCAAGTGCTCTTGCGCTGCATCGAGGTAGCCCTCAGCAGACTGCCGAATCTTCAGCAGGATCCTTGCCACCGGGGGGTGCTGGGCTCGGTGCTAGGGTAGGGATTCGGGGAAATTTCTTTGGCTACCCCAACCCCAATAAACAATTGAACCTACTGAGTCCCGGAACTTTAGACTACAACTTGCCAGCTGCAAGCTGGTAGTGAATCCTAGAGTCCCTATGAGCTGTGTGTTAGTGGCCTGGGGCGCTGGACGTTGTAGGCAAACCAACGAGTCTTCAAATGAAGAAGCATAGCCTCTTGGATTTATAGCAGCTCCTCAGGTATGGTGACTATGCTCTGCAAAGTGGGGGAAATTCCATGCAATCGCCTAAGTTAGACTTAAACGTCATAAAGTCTGCTCTGTATGTTAGGCCGAAAGTCTTGTCGAATTCCACCAGCTGGGCATCAATGTGGAGTTGCTGCGCCGAGGCCTGCAAACAGGGGATGCTGACAGCATCTTTTGAGGAGTCAGTTTCCCGGAGCTTGAACTTTTGGAGGCAATGCTAAGCAAATATGAAGCTTCGGCACCTCAACGCTTTTGGATCTTGGGAAAATAAGGTCTTAGTACGAAGCTCTAGTAAAGTGCTACCAGAGCCAGCGTGTGACTTGTGCATGCTTTGTTGGTCTTTGTAGGAAAGCTCAAATGGCAACCAAGGCTGCACAGCCACTGTAGAAGCATCAAATTCTACAGCCAAGCCCCACAGCTTGAATTCGACCACGGCAAAGTTCATACCCCTAAGCCCAACGCAAGTCAACTTTCACAATCACTGGACACCCCCAAACCCCAGAGCCTCAACAAGCCATATCACAGTCTGTAAGCGCCCCCAACTCACAACCCTCAACAACTTGCACTTACAATCAGCGCATTACAGCTCCTATTTGAGGGTTCAAAGGACATAAATCAAGTAACCAGGACAACGGTAGTACTGCTCGAATTTGGGGTCTCATAGCCCGGCTTTTGGCTACCATGAATCTCCAAGGAAACAACTCATTTGCTGGGGTTCCCAGCCTGGTGCACACGATCGCCCCCTCGGAGGACATCCAAGTGGAGCCCCATGCGATGCGCAGATAGGGCATGGCTCTTGATCCTTACGAGGGGTACTTTCTTGCAGGATTTGGGTACGAAGGGTTGAAACCTCAAACTTCCAGGACCCCGAATTAAGAGGGAGGATCGAAGCTTGGGGTCGTTCCCGTACGGATTTGAACAGGGCTTGGGATGCCTCATCCCGTAGCATGTCAGCCCTGAGCCTTGCCCAAAGTTGCCAAAGCATCAATTTTGCATCCTCCGCCCCCCAAGCTGAATCAAGGTTGACAGTTTTCATGCCTTGTAGATATGGTGAACAACGCTACGCCCTGGCTCCATACTTCAGCATTCTCTACTTGGCCTTGCTTGTGCAGGTCCTCTGCCTCCTATCTCCTTGAGCCCCCCGCGAATTCGAATCCGTGGTGGCTAGGAGGGAGGGGTTGATCCTGAACCCTAAGTCAAGCATTGGAAGCCTTAAAACGTCAACTCCATTCCCGAAATCCTAAGCCTGAATCCTGCACCAGAATTCCTATACCCCAAGCGTTAGACGCCAATCCCTAAATCCCACCCATCAACCATTTGATTAGTCCGAGGATCGAGGTCTCGGCCGCCTTCAACAGCTTTTTCATCTCCGAGTCCATCAATGCCGGGGGTTCCGGAAGATTGGCCTCCCGTTTAGAGTATGGGTTGACGTGCTGAGTGTGGGGTGGTGGTGTTTGCGTGTTAGGGAATTTTAGAGTTTTGGTGTTCAGGTTTAGGGTTCTGACCTGTGGCCTAAGTGTGCCTACCGCGTGTGTTTGCACCTTTTTAAATCAAATACATGCCTGTTCGTCAAGTACAACCCTTGGTTGCAGCAATCCTTCAAGAATTCACAAGATTGCAATTTGCCGGTTGTTTTTGGATATCCCTCTACACAAGAACAGCAGTCTCATTCCGGCGGCTGCGATCTACACAAGCAGTGCACAGAGAGAGTGCTCTGGGAATCTAGGCGCAGCGGGAATTCACAAGTCGGAGTAGGTTTTGGAATTTCGGCAGGTGTATGACTCGAGAAAGCAGGTTTTGGAATTCGGGACTAATGCAAAAACCCGAACCTACTAACAAACTGTGCTCAGAGTCCTTTCCAGACTGCACCGCGCATCTTCCCAAATCCCAAACGATATGCACCCATTTCCTAAACTCTAAGCATAAACTCTCAAAACCTAAACCTTACTTCCGAAACCCTGGAATCTTAACCCTGATTACTAAACCCTAATTCCTTGCTGTGCGCCTTCATGGCAAGAAGGGATCGTGCGATGGTGTTTACCTCGCGATGCAGAGCCACGCCCTTCTTCAGAAGGGATGACCTAACGGTCTGGCGTATAGGGCTTGAGTGTGACGTTGAGAAGGTTTAGGGGTTCTGGGGTTAAAGCTCAAGCGCCTCAGCGCGGTAATTTCCGAATCCGCGGGCATGGGGATTGCGTAGAGCTTTGGTCTTTGGATCCTGTAGGCTGTAGGATTGGAGATGTTTAGGTGTTGGCTCTCGGCCCCTCGCAGATGTGACAGGTTGGTGCTCCAAACAGCTTTGATTGAATCTAGGCCAGCTAAAGTGGAGGTTTCAAGAGCTTGTCACAAGAGTTTAGGCTTCAAAGCCTTGAGCCTGGAACCCAAACCATAAAAGACAATCCTAGCCTTTCTCAGGAGACTTTTCAGCATCCTGGGCCAACCCTATAGGCTCAAAGCTGCAAACCAAACATGTTTCCAGCACCCAGCAAGATGATTTGTGTTGGAAGTGGGGGATCTGGATAAATACAGCATATAGCATACCGTTGCGCTTGAAAAATCCTCTTGTCCTTGTAGAAGCTTCTAGCCACATGGATCTTGGAAGTATGCTTCGGTTCAGTGAGCTTAAAACTTTACAGAGTAGGCTCAGCACTGCCATAGCACCCTCTCACAAGGGGAAGGCATGCTGGGTTCCACGCTCTCTTGTTGTCTCCTGTTAGCCCATGATCCTCCCGCCTGAATACATGCTGCGAGCCGCGTACTTCCCTTGTAATCGCCAGATATCCCCAAGTTCCCGAAGCGCTCCTCAACTTGAAGGGGGAAGCCTCCGCATTTCAGAAGCAAGCCTCAACCTAAACCCTGCGCCCCGAATTCCTAAACCCCAGATCCTAAACCCTAAGCCCTAGATCCTAATCCCTGAGTCCTACACCGGCTGCAGCAAAGAAACGGCACAGGCGGAGTGACCCCTGCAGTGCCATTCCAAGCTTGCTGTCGCAAACGCGCCTTGGTCTAATTTCCCATTACCATCATATTTAATATAGGTATATGGAGAATCGAGAATCAAATTGAAACCTTCGGTCCCTGTAAAGGGCTTTCTCACCATGGGGGGGGAAGGGATATGCAGGAATTCCAAGGGGATCATGAGGTGCTTATTCGAGGTTGCATAAGGCACATTTTGAGGAAACACCCTTACAGCGCAAAACATTTGGAAAGGAGGTTTGACTGGGCACGCGTATTCGCTAAAAATCTCAGCCATGCATGCTACTACGTTGGGCTTCACCCTGAAACACAAACCCTGCGATCTTTGAATGTATGGCCCAAACTCCAAAATCCAATCATCCTTACAACAAGCTCAAACTGTGCATATCGAAAATTCCAAGCCCCGGGACCGCAACCTTATGCAATCTGGCCTGCTAGCCCTATCCACACTTAATCCCTGCATTGACCAGTATATTATCCCCGTAAGGCAGTCATGTACCCCTGGAGTATGTACTGCCATTCAGGAGCATGACGCACCTGACGGTGCAGCGCAGTGAGAGCTACGTGGATTTGCTCCTCTGGCTCCCAGAACAAGAAGCGAACTTGCAAAATTGGAACTTGAAATGGAAACTAGGATTGTGTGGTGGTTTATAGGGGCTACGGACTGTAGAGCTCTGAATAAGTACCAGTATACTCTTGGCAAAATGGTAGTGGGCAGAACGTATAGGCGATTATCAAGTTTGTGGTTCTCTCCATGAGCTGATATGGTTTCCAAGACAGGTGACTCGAAAAGGAGGCCAATGATTGACACTGCCCTCTATAAGGCAATGGCTGCGGTGTTCTGTTTTGGCCTTTCAGAAAGCGAGTGCGCTGACAGTACTGTTCCACAGATGCACAACTTAGGGTATCCAGGAAACCTTGTATGGTACTTCACCTCGGAAGATGAACTGCTTTTGCAAGCGGTGTGGTGAGAGCAAAAGAATCCAAATTGAAAGAGATCGAGGCATTCAGCACTCCCTTCCTCGCTTTGCCGGGGCCTCCATACCGTTGCTAAGTCAACTCCCATGTCAAGCTCTTTTAGTTCAGGGCTTAGTCTTTAGAGCCTATGCTGGCTGGTGGTGGGTAGGGAATGAAGCATGGATCCTTACGCTAGCACCGATATACTCCTGCTAATCGCCCCCATAGCCCTTTCCTTCTTTCCCCAAATGATGCAATTATGGTTAGTGCAAGTCCAAAGTGGGGACCACCCTCTGATGTCTTACAGCAGTCTCCAGCTTTGTGGCGCCGAGCTTGTACATGGAGTCCGTATTCCAGGCCGCAATCCTTTGCAAGGGACTGCTGTGGGTTAAGATGCCCCAATTGCATGGGGAGCTCAGATAATGCCTACCGCATACCCCTAATGATGCAAGTGTTCATCCACCCAAAACACGCATCTGCGCAGCATGGTCAGCCATCACAGATGAGTTGAATCTAATTTTTGATTGTCAGGGAAAGGGTTTTGAAGGCTGATGATAATGATCCCCCTAAGAAATTAGGAGACACAAGGGGGAGGCCTCCAATTATCAGACACGGCTAAACCATCCGTATCATTTCTCGAACTCAACACTATCACCAAGCCGTCTTTTGAAAGGACAGGAATCCTCTACCTTCCCACTTGTGGGATGTCCTGCTCTGCTCATGCTAGCCTTCGAGACGCCAAATGAGTCTTCCTAACATGAGCTGCCGTCAAGAGAGGGCTAGCCTGGCGGTAGTTGTTTAGCAGGGAACCAAGGACTGGTTCAGTTTGCACATAATCCAGTGTCATCATCCATGCGTCTTAGTCCTTCATTCCGCACAAACCACCAATAAGCTAGGGACCGCCGGCATCACAGGGATTCTCGTCGTCCCTAGCAAGGGTTGTTCGGAAAGCTGAAGCACTCCCAAATCAATATGTTAGCGTTCTCATGGACGTAGGTAGACAGCGGCAAGCTTAACCATAGCATCCCCCTGAATGGTAATTCTGACTGCTCCTTGCTGTGGCCCATCAGAACGTGCCAGGAAGGTCCAGTATATGGGAAGCATACTCCTACAGAGTGTTGGGGCCTAAGACCTTAAATAAGCGAATAACAAGTTCGTGTGTAAATCAGTAGGCATGACAGAACAAATTGGTGTTCGAAAGTCTTCACACTGTAATAGCCCTAAGTCTACAGCTCAAATCCTGAACTTGCAAAGTCTAGCCTACTTGCAGTACTTAGTGATGTGTCAAAAAAACAAGTCTACATACCACCAGCCTGTCTAGGAACACCAAAGACATCACAAACCCTGGGTAGATGCCTACGTGTAAACATGATAGAGCCCGAGCCCGAAGTGTCTCCGCTGCGAGCGAGATTCTCAGCCAACGCCTGCTGAGCTGCCGACCTCATGTCCTCTCAGTATGACTCATGAACTGATGCTACATGAGTAGTCATAAGTAGGCTAGCGTTTGATGCATACTTCTTTAGAGTGGGACACGTAAGACATTTTATGGGTACAATCATCCTAGCCTGGCATGTGCAAGGGTTCTGGAAGCTAGGCTTGAAGGTTCTTGCTAAACTTGCTGTTTCGTCTCCGGATTGAAAACTGTATTTCAAAAGGCAGTGGGAAGGTCATGATAAACCAGACCTAAGAATTAGCCGCGACCAACGGCCCTACATCAAGGCAATGGGTAGGAATAGTGCTGAAATCATGTTGCAGCTTCAGTCGGAAGCATTTAATCCTTTCAGTGTATTAGCAAAGGGTCAGGTGGAGAGTTTCATCACTAGAGGAGGGGATGGGTCGATGTCTCATAGCCAGATTTAACTTCTAACTTTACAGGCAATTAGGAGGCTTGATGATGCAAAAATTCGTGAACGTGCGAGGCATTTACGGAATCGGACCTCCTGAAACTATTTTGCATCTGGACGTCGGGATCCTAATTCCAGGTTAAAAGTGCTAATAATCACGAAGCTAAGCCAGAACAACGTCTTTGTAAATAAGTAGTGATGCCAGCAGAAGCTTAAAAATATCAACGTGTGTAGCGGAGTATCCCCCGCACAACCATTAGTTCTTCCAATTGTTTAGAAGGCAGCACGTGGAAATGTATTAGGACCCTCTGGAAAGTTCCAGTATGCAGGAATATCAAAACCTGAACCCAAGCCCTAGACGATGACCACCCAAATTGACCCTAAACCCCAAATCCCAAAGCTACAGCCCCCAAGGCGTCCTTGAGCTGCACGAGGCTGGCGTCCTGATCCTGAATCAGGCAGCGTTGAGGGTGTCAGACTTCCTTAAGTTTTCATCCTCTTTATGAGAATCATAACCATGATGATGATGATCATCATCATTGTCATTGTCATGGGATTGGCGTCAAAGGCTCATAGAAAGCGTTGAGTCCAATAGCTTATTCAGGACCACAGGCTAGTGTTGGTTGGGGGACTTATTTGGGTAATAGGCGCAGAAAAACTTGGCTCATTGAACTGGAGCCAGGTAAGGTATATCACGAAGCACCAATGTATCTAGAATCTGTAGTACTAGTTGGAAGACACTACGGTTTTGCAGGAGCAAGCACGGGAATGTCTTGTTGGTAACCAATGCAAAGTTTTCATGATATGAGGTGAGATACTTCCCCGTGTCCATTCCACCCTGCGCCCGCCTTGCCACGCACCAAGTCGCACAACCAAGCAAGTAATCAAATCCCAATCTGAATCTGGTTCCCGCTGGGATTGCAAGCGTCCTCTGATGCCATTGCTTCGGTAAACTCATTGAAGGCATCGTGGAAGCCCTGCACTGTCGATTCTTTCCTGGAAAGTTAGCTTGGAAGCGGGTGGCGCGTCGGGGTTTTTGATAGGGGACGGGAGGGCATCGAAAAGAAAAGTAGCAAACATGCTGAATTGCAGGCAGCCTTGCAATGGTATCTTGGGACTGGGGTTCTGATATGACCTCCCTCAGAACATGTGTTCGATGCTTGTTTCTGGGGGTGATGTGCGCAAGGCCTGAACCCAGACCTGTCGACCTGTCCTCCAATCGCCAAAAGCCCAAGAAATTGATTGTGTCACAGTTGCCATCTTTCATGCTTATCATCTTGTTGGCAATCCTCCTTACTGCCAGCCGCATTATACCGCAAATGCAAAAGTGATCAATGGCCCTGAAATCTATGCTCTCAGGACAAATGAAAGTAACAAATATGAGATTCAGCTTGTCGATCGCATCGGAGGTAGCATCCAGGTGTGCATCCTGGCAATAAAGCCCATGTTGCAAGTCATGCGCGCAAGTATTTTGATTTCAGATGCTCTATCTTACGTTTCAGTGCACGGGCTTACGCTGTACAAAACCTGCTGCTGGACATCCTCTCAGATCCGCAAGACCCCTTCGCAGAAGGGGTCACTATGGCTAAGCGTCACTACTTCGATGTTTTTGACTGATTTGTTTGGGATTTCTGCGAATGATATGTTGTTAGGGTTGGGGTTGCCAAGTAGCTCTTATCTGGGATTCTGGGGAAGCATTACTTTCGGTGACAGTTCAGGTGCCGTGTCAAGATTTTCTAGGACAACTACAGTCGAGGGTACATACTGCGAAGCCTTATGTACAAAATGTGTATATAAGTATATATATATACATATGCAAATATGTGTATGAGTGTATACGGTTTCCCCTTGTTCAGCCCACCCCTGGAAGGCCCTGATGATAAAGATACCTTTGCATGGCCCGGAACCTCATCTCTACAGCAACCGGGTCGACTGTTCCTAAAACCTCTACAAGCGCATTTGTGAGTCTGCACTGATCCTTGCAAAACAAAGTTTCAGCTGCTGGTTGAGGTTTCACAAGAAGCAAAAACCACAGACATGTTCATGGCATTCCTGAAGAATGCTACTATTTGCTGTCTTTGACTATGAAGACGACTAGCCTGGGGACCTCAAAGAAGGCACGCTTCAAAAGCAGGCAAACACACGCATACGTGGATTCGGAGTTTGGGCCATGTTATCGACGCAGCAGTGCTACGAGAGACAGGAGGAAAACTTTTGCCCCTAAGACTTGTAGAGCCTTTACTTAAGGCCTTCAAGAATGGACCACATGAATAGGGAGAATCCCAAATTGAATTCAACTCGTTGACAGCTCTTCTTGGACGTGTCATGGTCAGGCGCAGAGCAATAGGAGCATTTGCCAGGCAAGTGGCCATCTTCTCGGCAATCACTTTGTGCTCCTGCTTCGGGTGCTTTATTTCAAGGTCCAGATCTACATTCGAAACCCTCCATATAATCCCTATAATATAATAGTTCCCATTTTCTTTTCCATTATCCCTATATGTACCCTGATATATCCGCTATACCTCGCTACCAGAACTCCACTCGTCATCTTGTCAAATGCCTCCTTTTTGCCTTTTCTCAGGCTGAGATGCACTTGAACAGGGGAGTAAATTAACAGCCAGGGAAGGGATTCATGCCATGTCTTGCATCCTGGACCTTATAGGGGAACTTAGTAAGTAGGTTAGTAACCCTTATAGCCCATATAGTGACCATACTTATCCCTATACTTAACCTATTATTAAGTCCCCCTGACCCTCCAAGTAATTCCTGCTACAATTCCCAAAGCTCACAATTGCGCGAGTAGTCCCAAGCCTCAAAATCGTAAAGCTTGCTGGCTCAATCCAGACCCGTAGACCCTACGCACAGTTAAATCCTTAAGGCTTCCAGGGTCTAAATCCCCTAAGCTTCTGCGGACAATCTGTTCCTCAGAACCTGATCCCTGTACATCTGCAATATAATTCAAGCAAACCCCACAGCTAAGGGCTTGTCTTGAAACCCTACACCCTTAATTTACAAACTCCGACTGCATCCAATACCATCCTCGTGAGTCAGGTCGAAGATCTGCTTCGCAGCAATACCCAGATTTTTGTTCAGAGCGCTGTGCTGCGTGTTCCTGGGACATAGGGTTTGGAGGTTTGGAATTGTGGTAAATAGGCTTATAGTACTAATTAATAGAACTAATGATCAACTATCAAGGTTGAAAGACGCGGTTTAGACGCTGCGCCACTCTTGCCGTGGATCGTAATATCATGTTGACTCCTTTGACCATTGATGATGCTCATCTCTGTATTTTCTCAACGGGTTGGGGTAAAGAGATTTGGGTTAAGGGTTGCAGTTCTTGATTCAGGATTGAAGATTGAAGGTTTAGTGTTTTGATCACCACCTTTTGGCTGTGGTCTCCATTGGGAGGCGAGCCCTCTCAGGGGATCCTGTCCAAAGGAAATCCCATTTCTGGCCCTTGTTGTGGGCCGCTGGAAGCATTCGGGCACTAGGTTCCCTTAGCCGTAGAAAGCTTTTCTGGATACGCCAGGTTCAACGGAGTGAAAGACATGCCCGCATCCCTGAGCCTCTTTGCACACACCTGAATTCCTAGACCTTGTTCCTCCCAACCCTAACCTCCTATAGATTTTTCTCCGTCAACCTCTATAACCCTATGCCCCAAACCCTATATAAAGGCTACGCCCTGGACTCTGAACACTTCTGAACAGCAGGAGCTCATTGCATTGATGATCTGCTTTCCATTGGAGTTGACCTCGTGGGATAGTGGGTGTGGGGAGGAAGGGGCGGAGGGTTCGGGTTTTTGAAGTCCAAGGGTTTCTGCTTAGGGTTCAGGGGTAGAGGGTTGTTGGCAGAATGTTTGCATGCGGAGTTCACAATGTGGTAGTCCCAGCACGCAAAGAGAACCTGCAGCTCTACTCTTCGAGTGTGCAAATATTGCTGCAAGTTCTTCATACCCCCCCTCCCCTATCGGTGCAGTGGGATGCCTTATTTGCAATGCGTCATTTACAAAGCCCGGGGAGCGAATGCACTACAAAGTGGGTTCTGTTACTAGCTTAGCTTGCTTGATGAATCATTCTGGCAGAGACACAACCCAGCTCCCTGAACTTTTGTAAACTAGCGGTTTACCGTCCCATCTGTTGCAAATTCACGATGATTGCAGTGATATGAAATCCGGTCGTGGCATACAAAACGCCAGGATCTGGACATTACAAAACCCTGATAGAAGCAAAGAAGTGGATTCCAAACACTCACTCTTAATCTTAAGTCAAGCCGCGGCATTCAAGTCTGCTCGTGCGTAGGTGTCCATGACCTGCTTGAGCTGATCGGTGTCGTGGGTTGCCTGTCAAGGATCCCAGGTAACAGTCTGGAGCATGTAGGGGTTCTAAACCTGGGGTCGGCGGCCTCGGCAAACGTGAGCCCTCTATTTCTCATCACTTAGGTCGTCCAACTCACACCCCGAATCCTCATCCCCAAATGTCCAAGCAAGCTTCAAGCCTTGCAAGCCATTTGCGGTTGATGGATCAGGATCCGGCTGAACGATGGGTTTGCTATATCAACTATAGTCTCTAGAAGTTTTGGTACAAAGGTTTTACAGGATTCTGGCCAGAAGGTGCCAGCAGAAGGCTTCCAGCGTCATGTCGCCCAGAAGGACAACGCTGCGTGTAAAGGTAGCCAAGGCAATTTACTAAGTTCCCTGGCACCCCGAAACTCAGTGCCAACCAAAGCCGGATCCCTATGTGATGTGGGTCTTCGTCTAGAACGATCCACCGGGCGAAGGCCCTTAAGTCGGGTCTTCTCCTCTCATGGCATTCACCTTTGACTGCTTGGTCTAGGTATGTGAGCAACTGTCCCGGGCTTTTTGTAGAAGCTTTAATAAATGTCAACATTGAAATAGGTCCTGGGAGGATCCCCACAGGTCACCAACTCTCCCCTTGAGCTCCAACCAGTAGGTAAACGTGCAACCCCTGTAGCACTCTACTTAAAGCCTTCCATTCAGATTTCCATTTTTTCCGTTTGATTCTCCACTTGTGTAATGACCTATTTCGGGATGACCAGCAAGTCGCTAAATCATGCTATCCCCCCTGTACTAACCCAGTTCTTAATTTCCCTTGATAGATAGTAGCTATCCTTTAAAAACACCAATTAAAAGGGGAAACCTAGGGGTCTAGTATTGGGTGGGTAGTATGGGAACTGAATGGTGGCCTTGTCCTCCATGTGCGTGAGCCGGGTAAAAATCTCGGAGACGTAGTGGTTGAAAAACTCCTCTCTTGAGTGCATGTGCGAGATCACTGAGGCTTGCATTTCAAGATGTAAGGGGTTCAAAAAACAGGGCCCCCCCTGCATATATCTAGACACTACACGCCCAGAGGGAGCCTTGGGAAATCCCCGTGTGGGCTGTGGGACTAGGCCGGGACTATATGCCCATAACTTCCTTCTCGAATTTGTCATATCAAATGTCTCCACATCTGCCACCTTACCCAGATGCCCCACTCCTCAGCTCTGACCCTGAAAGCTACAGCCCCTTACCGCGCATGGCCTCGGCATCCTGTTGGACTTTAGCATCTTCAGGAACCGTTGCAAACCCAATGCGCGCAAGTTTCTGTTCTTCCATGAACTATTACAATAAAAAAACAGCCAAACCTTACCCCACACACTGGCAAGCACCATATTACTGTTAAGAATGCTACTGAAACATGTCCTTCATCTCGGAGAGAATATTCCGGTTCAATGTGCCAATGGAGGTCAGGATCTGCTGGTCTCCTCGCTTCACGGCATCCTCAACACCTTAGGCTTGCTGATTCTTAGTAAGGAATAAGAGAATATCTTTTTTAGGGAGTATATAGGGATTCTATTCCCTTATTCCTTACTTAGAATCAGTGAGTAGGATCTAACTAAGGTTGGAACCATGGGCCCTTTAGTGAACCCTCGGACCCCAAGCAGGGGCATCCCGGGTTGTGGGATTTGGGCCAGTGTAATACAATGACAAACCACAACTTGAAACTGCGTCTTCTCCCTTTTGAAGCGCTAGACCAACCTTGCAACTACTAATATGAACACAAACGCCTGGAAGCCTAAGCCCAAGCACCTAAATCCTTTATCCGGGACCATCAACCCCTGAAAGTCTCTAAAGATGGATGGTTTGAAATCCGCCGAGGCACACGATAGGTCGCAGTAAACCTTTGCCATAGTGTTCCTCAGCTACCCCCATGTTAAACTGGGTTTCAGCAGCGAGACAACATACAGGTTCTTAGTAGGGAGTAAGGGACATATTATATTCCCTTATCCTCTGCTAAGAGCCAGCAAGACAAGTAGAAGGGACATCTACAGAAAACGACTTGGCCTATTGTCAAAAGTCGATACAGAGTTCCACTTTGCCCATGGAAGTCGGTAGCACTCCGCTGGTATCGTTTTCAGCGAATGGCTTTACAGATGGTGTTGTGAGTCTACTCTAGATACAGGTGCGGTTTATTCTTGAAGCCGCAGATCCCCACGTGAGTTCCCAGAACGCCAAAACAAGGCCTCATACAATCTCTGTGAAGCCCACTTGTTTAGGGAAGCAGCTTAGTTGAACGATCACGGGAACTACTTCTCAAATAGGAGTACCCAACAGAATGTTGCCAGAGCAGAAGCGGGACTTTGCAAAATCATGCGAAAGTCCAAAGTATTCAAACTATCAACCTTGAACAACTTTCATATACGGAGAATGTAATGCACCCCACAGCCCTATTATCATAACTTGGGTCCATGAATTCATCCCTACATCATCCTTAAGAGGGAGCTTGTTGATCTCTTCATAGTCCGATATGCCAGGGGCGCCAAGGGATACCCCGACATTGCCAAATGAAATTGGATCTGAAACCCTGAACCCTAATATGTAAAACAAACCCCAAACCCTGCACTCCAAACCCTGAAGCTGGATCCCCGCACCCAGACCCTAAACCTTGAAGCCTACACCCATACCCTCAACTCTGCAAAGGCTCTGCAGAGGGTTGCAGTCCTGGAAATCGCTCACATCATATCGCCTTGGTGGGGATGGGGGGGTTTCTCAGAGTACCCTCAAAACCCTATGGTAACTACAGCAACAATCCTTCCCCTGGTAATAACATGCCCCCCCACCCCCAAACAAGAACTATTCCCTCCCAGTATGTAACGGTATTAAAGTCGGAGCATTCAATGTCAGGGATCGTGAACCGTCTCATATCAAAGTGAGGGGGTTGTAGGGACCCCCAGTGTCCCATGATGGCTACAGGCATGAGTGCTATTCATTCAGTTGGCGTGGCTCTTAGAATAAGGATCATCGTCTAGGACCTCCGTTGAGATCTCTGCTGAGGCTTGCTTTGCTCAGGGTTTCTGGTTCAGGGCTTACGTATTGATCCTCAACCTACAAGCCTTGGGTTGCGTTGTCATATCATCTCAAGGTCACTGGTGTTACGGCCATACCTGACAAGAGTCTCGAGTCGGACTCTCAATATTTGCGTCTCAGTGTACTGCAGGAGCCTAAATGATTGGAATACTGGAGAATCAAATGAAACATGGAACGGAAAATGCCATGGCAACAGCGTTTCTCCAGTGGTTGAGACTCTAGGGCCCTATTTGAGGAGAAAGGAATAATGTTGATAATAACTTGGGCGGCTACATCAGGCAATTGAAGGTTTTGAAAGGCCGACATGCATCTGAGGTGAAAACAGTCTTTGGTGCAAAGACCCTTTGGGAAGTGATGCAGAAGCAGAAAGTGTTGTGCTTCCTCTGATTTATGCAAGACTGTCCTGTTCTTCCAGAAGTTGCCTATTTTGGGGTCCTTGTAACTTATGGTTGTAACCTCATATCAACCTTTTTACTTGTAGTAGGGTCTTATAGACCCCGAAAGATTAATGGGTATATATGCCCACTACTGAGAGGCCCAAGTCGCCATGCCCTGTAATCTTGCGCCACGTCGATGGCATAGAGGGATGCCGCAGAGACGCCAGTGGCCACCGCGGCGCAGATGGCGCCCCAATTGATGCCTGAGCTCGTCCAGTACAGGAGCTAGGCTCAGGATTTCTGGAATAAATGCTTGGGTTCGGGGTTTGGATTTAGGATTTCGGGTTTAGGGTGGGCTCTAAAATGTAGTGCAGAGCTTTCAGGGCTAAGAGCTCGGGCTAAGGGCCATGTGGCCCTCAACCTTGGTTGGAAGGGAAATGGCTATGCTTGGGCTTCAGGTATAGTTGTGCATGGGTTGAAACTATCATAACTACCCATGGAAAATCAAGAGCCAACCGATCCGAAGCAACTGAAACGCAGGCCTGTGAGATATATCAAAGTTGTACCTGCGCAAGAGTTGTATTTGGGAGTGGTTTCCGTGCAAAAGCTTCTGGATCTAAAATGTCTGGCTACAACTAGGTGCGGAATAATCAGGCTAGTTGTTGTTTGTTGCTGAGTTCTTGAGTGAGGTGTCAGGAATTTGGCGGTTCCAAAGACAGGGATTGCCCTCATATACCCCAAAGAGGTGAACCCCACTACAACGACCATACGCTTTTCTTGAAAGCCTCAAATGATACGTTGATACTTGAACCCCAGATCCGACATGCAACCGGACCCATCGGCCGTGGCTCCAATCTCTTACACTAGAAGCCTTCAAGGTAGAACAGAGTCCCTTGTGCTGCCTGGAATTCAAGATGCCCAGCATACTCTTCTCTTCTTCAACATCCTACGAAGCTCTCCAAATTCCTGACTGTGAAGCCTACCTCAGAGCCTAAGCCTTCTTGTCATCGCTACCAGTAGCATCATGAGTCCTTATGAGGTCATTGCCTGCAGAAACCCAATGACAAGAATCTTTGTCAGACACTTCGTGCCTGAAGAAACCCAAGCCCTGAATAGTACTCTCGAAGCTACAAGCCCCAAACTCAATCTTTACGTAGCAGAGGTCAAGGTGGGCTATCCGTGTGTACTTCATGTACTTGCTTAGCATCACGTATACTCCGCCGAACTAAGTTGGAACCCTACGAAGACTGAGGTCTCTTCGAGGGTACTTTTTCTCGGATTGCGCGCTATTTCGTGGAGCCTCAGAAGCCCAGCCACAGGGTGAGAATTACAGATCCCAAGCCTTAATCCCAAATCCGCGGCCCTGCATCCCAAACCAAGCCCCAAATCCTAAGCAAACTTCAACCATCGGGTTGCTTGTTCCAGCATATGCTGCGATGGCACCTGCCAGCGCAAGAGCCTGCACTGGAAACCAGGACAATTCTGCCTAACAAAACTTGTAAATCCACTAACTCAATCCCTGGATCAAAGGTCCTAGACCTTGCGAGTTGCAGTCCTGTTTCATTGTGCACTACAATGTTTCCCCTTCGGTAAAGACCCCAACACAAATCTCGTTATGTTAAACAAATCCATGTGACTAAGGTCTGTTAACATGAGCAAGCAAGTGCCTTTCACAGCCAACTTCACTTGAAGGTCGAGGGGTAGTGATAAGCTGGTTATACCTATCATAGATATAGCCTTACTGTTCAAAGCTAACCTAGGAAAGACATAGGCCAACTTCCATCTACCTTTGAGTTTCCAAGCGTGTGGTCAGCATCCTCAACCATGGGATCAACATCTTGCCATCAAAATTACTCCAGAAACTTGACCGACCACGCAACACCGCATACTTCGGAGAAAGGTATCAAAGCAAATTAGCAGGCAAAGGGTGGAACAAAACCAAGAAGGAGGAAAGCAACAAGGACAAAAGGAAAAGGAGGGGAGCCGAGAGAGGGTGAGTGAGGGAGAAAGGACGACGAAGGAGGAGGGTGGCGGCTAGAGCTCTTGAGGCTCATACTGAGCCCATAGCCAATTAATTATCCGCGAGTATCGCAGCAAATTTTCCTGGAACGAAGCCAGAAGACTTTGTTCTGTGTCAGGTTTAAATGGCCAGCCCTGGATCTATTATAGAGCCCCCGCTGCCAGTTAATATGATCCTCATGATGACCTGGATGCAGGGCCCGTATAGTTACCAACATCCTTTGAGGTCTGTTGAAAGTATCGTACTTACACAAGGAACTAGCTAAGGACCATCATGTTGATAGTAGTTAAAGCTGCTTCATTCTCTCGCAAAAGAACCGCGCCAAATTCTTGCTTAGAGTCGTTTCCTGCAGGTTCACCTACAGCCACATGGTTGATATCCCGAAAAACCAACATAGAAGGCACCTTATCACAAGGACTCCCCTCTCTCAATTTCGGGAACCTCCTCTCGACACCCCTCCCCTAGTACTACTGTGGATGGAAGAAATCTTGCACCGCTTTTAAAATAGCCATGTTAGGCAACACCCCGCACCATATTGTGCACAGGTCCGTTTTTTTTTGGGTTTGTTCCGATGACGTAAACCTTGCACCGCCTCGCCATGTCAGCAATCTATGTTAAGAGGGGGGGGTGCAGGGTTGTCTCTTGAGGGCCTGGCAAAGTGACATTATCTAGGCGCTGCAAGATTTTCTCCATCAACCGTAGCAATGCTAGCGGTAACAATAGTAGCAGGAACAGTGTTGATGACAGTTATTAATACTGGTAATAGTGAGAAACATACTAGTGCTACTAATAATGGAAACAGTTGGTTTGGACCGTACCTTTGTGTATTATCGACATCTCCATGAACAGTGTTAAGGGGTTTTCAGGTGGGTAGTTACCAGGTGGGTACCCTTATTTATGGCTTATATGGGACCCACTAGGACTATTTAAGGGCTATGTCAGGCTTAAACTACGCACCAGAAACTTCCTTAGACAGTAACCCTCCCCTCAAAGCTACCCGCCTGTGGAATTGCCATGCAGGTTTTCGTCGACACTGGCTCCGCAAGATGCTGCACGAGGGCTGTGTGGAATTGGCTGGGTTGCTGTTAAGGAGCTGTATGGATGACTAGTCAGTGACCTCATCAGATGTCTTTTCCATAGTAACTTACTTCAAGTTCCTTAACAGCAACCTGATGGCACCATCAGATTCTGTAACGTGGGTGTTGTCAGGACAATGCCTTCGTAGAAAACGTTTAGTGTCTGAGTACTGTATTTATCTCTGAGCGCTTCCCCCAAAGATTCTCCGGCTGTGGATGAAGAGTCTAGGGTCAGTCGTGGTGTCCTTCCTCCCTTGCATCCAGAGGCAAGTCAGCAAAGTCATTCCGGAGCACTCTGTCTTCTTCAACTTGGCATATTGGGTCTGGATATCCTGCATGGGATCTTGGCAAGAACCTGGGTAAGGAAACGCTCTCTTTCCCTAGAGAATATTCCCCAGCGGCCTGTTCAGTCATAGACTTTTCACGGCCTATTACTGTTGATATATGTGGACTAGAGCATCGACTTTGGCGCTGCCGTTCTGCCTGATGCCGACAGAGACTGGGGTTTGGGGTCGAGGGCTTAGGGTTGCAGCTTATGGTCTCAAATCCTGACGCTTCGAGTGCCTAGACCTAGCAATTCAATCGCGGTTCCCCTTTACTTGTCAGTCACCATAGACAAAGATGCCAAGGAACCAGGTAGAGTAGTGGATAGCGAGTCTAAGCTAATACTTTTCCCAATGCAAGATTGTGGTGCGCACCGATGGGTCATATGCTGGTTATCCCCGTGCTCAGTCCCAGACCCACAGCATTGTCCAATCTCTTCTCGTTTCAGAAGACCTCTTTCTAAGCCTCCTCAACCAATGAAAACCTCGACTGCTGTCCCCTACTCCCGCTACAGTTCTGCGGCACCTTGTAACCCCCAACCCCAAAACCTAAATCCCCAACCGCTTCAGCCCCCTGTTACTGGCTTTTGTTAAGAAACTTATTTTAAGTTGCCGTATTGGGGAAACCATATTAGTTACTGTATATACCCAGCATGGCAACTTAATTCAAGTTCCTTAGCAGCAAACCCACTGTTTTCATTTCATTTTCCATTTTCTTTTCCATTTGATTCTCCATTATGAAGTGGTAATATCCCTATATTCCCTACATCAACCCTAAACCCTTAAACCCCTAGACCCTAAATCCTATATAAGCCCAAAAAACGTACGCCTCCTGTTAATGCCAAAGCGATCCCCGCGGTGCCTCTATCGTGGCTGTGCCGAGAGCGGCTTGACGGTCCTCACGTCTAATAGTACTAATTGTAACAAAAAATGAGAGGAATGACAGTAACAATAGAAAACATAATAGTAATAATAGTAATGATCATACTAAAAATAGCAGCAATGGAAATGCACGAAACGCATTCATAGTAATAGTAGCAGGAAGGGCTTTTATTGGGATAATGGAAAAGAAAATGGAAATCACTTCTTAGGGTTTAGGGTATATATATATATATTGGTACTTTGTACTGTAGAGATAATGGAAAAGAAAATGGAGACTACTACATGTGTAATAGGTAACATATTGGGACTCATGTTTTGCGACTCTCAAGATAGGGCGGTCTTGAGGCTTAGGATTTGGGGGTTGGACATTTGGGAGTCAAGGGTTTAGCGGCTGGGGGTTTGGGGTGCGCCTAGGGTCTGTGGTTCGGCGGTTTAGGGTTATGCTGCTTCGGGTGTGCTTGGGGGATATGTGAGACATAGGATTTCTGAAGTTCTAGGAAGTGTTCTGTCAATGGTCCGGTGAGCATATACTTCTAAGTAATCGTGAAACAGAGGCAACTTGGTCTCATAGAGTTCGAGGTTCAGGAAATGGTTCACAAGGTGTTATTCTAGATTTTGAGCCTCAGAGCCTCTCATGACTCTAGTCTTACAAGTACCCTTGTGCTCCTTCAACCTACCCCCTCAAGTTTGGTGATTCGAACGCAAGTTTGCTTCTTGCCATTTTCTGCTGCATCACATGCTGGAGAATGGGATCAGATAGGTAGATGATAGGTAGACATTCACGTGAACAAGGATGATGGAGGGATTTCAACGCATGACATGACAACATCGTTCCAAAACCTCATCTCTGCAAACTAACATGGAATTCATCTAGCTCCCCTCCTAAAATTAGCTTTTTGGGTGTTGTTGATGTCTATTTGAGGTACTTACTCTACACAATAGTTATACAAGGAATCTAGGACCATCATATTGGCAATTCTTGGGGCCCTATAGTAACCCCCCATGAACCCTGCCAAGGGTCATAGGTCGCCATTTTGTAGCCGCGGTTAATGTCGCGCGTGCTGCAATCCCAGACCTCAGGCTTTAGGTTGACACTGTATTTGTTAAGTTTGTAGGGTTTCAGAAGGTAGGCTATAAGTATATCCCAAGGAGAAAGGAGTTTCCAAGTTGTTGCAGGTATTTCAGGAGGATCTTCGGCCGGCTTATTGGCATGGTCTGGACCATTGTAAACTTCATTTCTTGCTTAAGAAGTCTTTCCGAACAGTAAAATGCTAAATTTGAATGTTTCATGCAACATTGGTTGGATGCGTGCGGCCCCCCAAATTCACAACACTCATGTTCTCGTGGACGTCATGTCCAACAAAAAACTATTGTATATACATGTGTAGATATATATATATATATACATATATCACAGTGATAAGCTTCTTTGGCACGAACATGAACATCCAATTGAAAGATACATGAATCTTTCTTCTACAAGGTTGGTACTCTTGGGAGCCCTTGGAAGGAATCAAAGAGCACTCCTTAAGACATCTGAACAGGAGAGGTGCAATTGTTGCGGATTATATGCCCTCGTAACCCCCTCTAAACATTCAACCCTAAGCCTTAAACCCTGATCCTTAACCCCCTGCCCCCCCATTAACATTGAATCTTAAAACTTAAAACCCGAAGCCCTCAACATCTAGCCCTTCAAAGCCACCTCGGGCAATTTGAGACTAGCGCTGCAAAGCATCCAAAACCTATGGGGTTTAGGGATTATGGTTTCGCGTTTACTACAATTTCTCAGGGTTTGGGGGCGCTTTTTAAAGTTAAGAATTTTGAATGCAAGGAAATTGCGAAAATCAGAAATGGGGCCCTAAGGAATTGCAGTTTTTCTCGTCTTGAGGGTTCAGGGATTAAGGTTGAGGGATGATGGTTTGGCGTGACTGACGTCAGGAGTCAGGAGGTCCGTAGCATTCTGAGAGGTCCTGGCATGGTCCTGACGACTTTCCTTTTACGCCTGGTTGTCCTCAGACTGTGGGATTCTTTGCCCTCCCGCAATGAAGACTGTCATCATTCTTGAGGAGGTTTCTCTTCGGGGCGGCTGGCAATTGGCATCCCTTCCATCATTCATGTCTTCAAACGACAGACATATGGGGCATGAACTTGCCACGCTGGGTCATCATGCTGGACTCAAGCAAGTGGAACCTGACACATACACACACAACCCATCTGAACTCTAGAGCCTCTTAGCAAGACTCGGCAAAACCTCGACCCCACTTCGCTTTATCACATCCTGGATGACAGCCTTGGGCTAGACATCTCCTTGCCAGGATGCAAGCACTTCCCATGTCAAGCAGGACGATTTCCCAGAACATGCCAAGATCACAGGATCCTGGTGATTGGTGCCGCCAGAACCATTGTCGGCGATTGTGTTCGTCGAATCTACAGACGTAATATACCGACATGCTCCAATGATGGCTCTGTGGGTGGCTTGTGCCCTGCTGTCGGATCCATCCTCGGAAGAACTTTCGGCCTCAGAAGAAGTTTCGGACGCTGCTGCTATCACCACCATGTTTTGGACAGCCCCAAGTCAGAATGCCTCCATGTCTCAGAATGGCAGCAAATGCACGCTGAGAAGCCTGTATGTGCTGGACGTTCTGCAGCTCTGCTCGGACAGTACTGCTGTCACCACCCCATCTAGGATCCCCCCAGGTCACCACGGACCCGTTGCCCAGAATGGCAGCAAACGCGAATGCAGTAGCCTGTATGTGCTGCACGTTTCTGAGCTGCTCTTGTACTAAGCTACTATCACCACCATATTTCGGATCGCCCCATGTCACCACGGATCCGTTGTCCAGAATAGCAGCAAATGCGTACAGGGTAGCCTGAATTTGATGCACGTTGATGAGCTTCTCCTGGACTGCGCTGCAGTCCCCACCGTCTTCCTTCTCCCCCCAACAGATCACCCGTCCACTGTCCAGAATGGCAGCAAATGCGTGTTCAGCAGCCTGGATGTGCCGCACGCCTTTCAACTGACTTTGGACAGCGCTGCTGTCACCACCAAATCTTGGGTGGTCCCATGTGACCACATAGCCACCGCTTAGGACTGCAGCGAATGCGAACGGAGTAGCTTGAACTTGTCGCACATTGACAAGCTGCTCCTGCACGGCGCTGCAATCACCACCGTATTCCCAATCTCCCCAAGTCAACACGCCGCCGTTGTCGAAAATGGCAGCAAATGCTGCCGACGTTGCCTGGAGGCTCTTCACGTTCTTGAGCTTCTCCCAGACCTCGCTGCTGTCACCACCTGAATCGGGACGTCCCCAGGTCGCCACGGATCCATCATCGGCAATGGCAGCAAACGCCTCTGCAGTAGCCTGTATGCACTGTACCCTCTTAAGTTGATTGTGAAGCGCACTGGTGTCACCAACCGTTTCTGGATCGCCCCATGTAACCACTGATCCATCGTCCAGAAGAGCAGCAAATGCGTGCTCAGCAGCCTGTATGCTTTGCACATTCCTGAGCTGATCCTGGACTGTGCCGCTGTCACCGCCCATTTCTGTGCAACCCCATGTGACCACGGATCCATTGTCCAGCAAGGCAGCAAATGCCCCGTCAGTAGCCTGGACATGCTGTACATGTCTCAGCTGCTCCTCAACGGCGCTGCTGTCGGCCGCTGAAGGCATTTCGGTGTTGCCCCAAGTCACCACGAGCCCATCACCCAAGATTGCACAAAATGAGGAGACGTGTCCCATGACAGCCGTCTGGCGCACTTGCAAAGTCAAGACATCCCCCGACTTCAAATTTGCTTCAGCTACTGTTTGTCCTAAGTCGAGGACTTCTCCGCGAGCATTGAGGAGCGCTCCCCTACCTGTTCCCAAAGCATCTTTTGCCTGCAGCGCTACATCCTGAAGTGAAGAGTCCGTGGTGGTTGCAATTTGCACAGCCTTGCCACTCATTAACGCCACATGGATGTGGTCAGTTGCCATTTTTTTGGTAGTCGAACACAGATCAGGGCAACGTAATCACCTCCCTCGAATGATAAACCCCATCCCCTCTTTCCGATTGTCACAATCCAAGCCCAGCACTCAACCTACACTCCACAAACGAAAACCTCCACACACTACCTGAAACAAGTCGCCTTTTGCTTTTTTCCAGATACATCCTTTGGATAAGCACCTGGGGCCTCAAAGACTTTCCAGGCAAGACCCCTGAAGCTTCAAGCTGGAAACTTGTCCCAACTTGTTTGGGAACTTACTTGGGGTTAGGAGGGAGTAAGAGAATGTCTAGGGCGTAGGGTTGAGGTTTAGTAGGAATAACAAAATATATTTCACAGGGATTATGATTATGTTCCCGTATTCCCTGAAAGAGCCAGTAAGCCAACAGCAGAGGCGGCAGGCGCGAGCTAGCATCTACAAATGTAATCTAGGGACCCGAACAATTACAAGCATCATTTTGAGGTCGACTTATAGGTACCATATGCCAGAGTTATACAAGGGATCTGGAACCACATTTTTGGTAATCACTTAGGCCCTTACAGTAAGCTGGCACCAAATAGGTCATATTCAAAACGAGAAGATGAATTGGGGAGGTTGATTATTGAGTGAAGGGATTTCAGCAAACTCCCTGGCTGCAGGAAAAATCCACACGTGCCATAACACCCAGCCCAGAGTTTGGATGTGTGTCTCTACTATGATTCTATGAGTATTGCAAGGCGCAATTATTTGTAGACATTTCGGACTTGAAGTTCCCAAAATCCTACTTCTATTTCTCATCCTTAATGGCTGGCCCTGCCCTCTTACATGCTAGTTTCCTAAAATAGGGGGCCGAATATAACCCCCAATATGCGATTATCCTTATTAGGGGGACGTCTATAACAGTACCCTGACTTTTGGGAAATTCCTACATATGCCTGCTCAGAGCCATCCTCCGAAAACAAGTGGGTTCCTGTTGAGGACTTTAATTTCAGTTACAACATCAGGGAAACCATATCAATTATTATGTATACTCATTATGGTAGCTTGATTTAAGTTCCTTAACAGCAAACCAGACAAACAGCAGTGGGCAGCCAAGGAAAGGGTTTGGACTGAAGGACTCAAGCAAGCAAATGCTCATCGCTTCCCCCTAACCATCTGAATTTATTGTTTAATATTTGGGGGCGTTTAATATTAGGGGGACGGGATTAACCACTTTGCAACTCCTTTTAGAGACAATTATGCAGCAGTCCTTGCCTAGTCCACTCATTGCAAACCGTCCTTGGGCCTTTTGAAGAAAACAGGGGTACCTTTAGGGGCTGAGGGACGCCAAGGGATAAATGGGGTCCCCAGAAGCCACAAAATCATGAGTTTTCAGAAGGCGGTTCCCTTGACCCTTCAAACATTGGCTGGAAATGCCCATCTGATGTAAGCTGCAGCATGAACTTCTTAAACACCACCTGTGTAATCTGAACCATTTATCATCTGCTCTGGGGCCCCAAACATCATTCTGAGCTGCTTCTTCGGAGCTTCAGATAACAAGCAGCAAGAAAGGTCTTTGTCAGGACATTCCTCATGACTACGTGGCAATCCTAGGGGTTCCTGACTTGAGTCACGCCCGCTCCCAAAAACCTTGTAGAAGTACACTGAAACTTACTGGGGTTAGTAGGGACTAAGGGACCATTCTATACACAGGGATTGTATAGGAATTGTATTCTGATATTCCCTACTAAGAACCAGTAAGGGAAACTAGATTGCAAAGAAAGCAAGTCAACAGAACCCTCAAGCATTCAATCACAGCGCAACGGATTCACCAAAAACCTGTCGCTCTCAATGCTCACACATCCCCACATACGTCCCCAAGACTCCGGGCAGCAAAGCAATATTACATCTACTTAGACCCCAACCATCACTGCTTGGGCCTCCGCTAATGTGTTGCAAAGTGTGCCTGAGCTTGGCCACCTAAATACGTAATCTTTAACCCTGCCTCTCTGCCCTAGCGCCGACAGAGGCACCCAAGCCCTTTGGGCAGAGTATTGATCAATAGCGGGGTGAGGGGTTTCTCTGAAAGGGAGAAGACATCTGCTTCCCAAGCGGCAGCATCTGCCGTGAGGCC